AAAAAAAAAAAAAGGGATTTTTTCGCCACATTCTTCTTCCTCGTTGGCTGTTTCTGTGTGCATCTTTTCTCGTCTGATCGGTGATCTCTCACATAAGACAGCCACTGTGTGTGTCTGTGTTTGTATGTATCGGTCCCCCTAAATTGCCCGCACTGTGCTACCCCACCCCGTACCCCTCCCTCCCTATCTCTCTGTTCTGCTTAAGCAGTCGGCTGGCGATCATTGCAGTGGTCAGTCGACGGGATGGCCGAGCCGTTAGTGCAGTGTAGTAACCATCCATCGAAAACATTACGTAGAAAAAGTTTACAGGTTTGTTTCAAGTAAAATCAAAATGAAAACCAGCGTTGAAAGGAAAAAACCCAAAGCTTAGAGGAACTTTATCTATCTAGACGGCTATCTATCTACGTATTTTCATTTAGGCTTGCTGGAAACTGTAAGAATTTCTGAAAGATTATTTGTCAATTTGTTAGCTTTATGATTACGTTTCTAAAAGCTTTTTTGCCTTTTAGTTAAAAGTAATGACGTTCAGAACAATTACCTGCTATTGGTCATTATTTTCGACCCTTTCTATGTTTTTATTTGGGAACATTTATTTTTTTTACTTTATTTTATTTGTTTTTTGTTGCGGCATTAAACATTTGTTTCAATGTGTTATTTGTTGGTGTTACTGCTTTTTTTTCCCAGTTGAGCATATATTCCTTTTCATACGTTTGCTTTTGTTTTACATTTTTCACTACATTTTTTTTTTGCTTTCTTTTTTTCTTTTTGAACACTTATCTTCCCTAAATCTTTTGGAAAACCGGAAGCACAGACATCGATCTTTTGTAGTGGATGTTGGATGTTTTCAGCCAACTAGGATGGGTAGCCGTTTTGTAGGCGAATTTATACTGCTTTGGAAAAATTTAAACTTTTTTGTTTAAAGTTGGTTATAATACCCTTTACTGTTTATACTTTATGGTGTGATCAGTGGAAGAAAAGAAGCAATAAAAGGGAAAAAAAGGTTTTTGGATTAAGCAGCATAAATAAAAGACTTTTTCACTGAATATTTTTTCTTCTCTTTTTTAGCGCCATATACGACAAATAAAGCATCTTGTTGCAAAACGAATTCCGTCGTCAAGCTCTGATCAAAAACTGAGCACACTGGAAACATTGGAAAAAACTGTGGAAATTGTAAGCCTTGAGTTTATTTGGATGTTTTTTTTATTGTTTTTTTGTAGGAAACAACCTTAATATATCGTTGCAGTTGCAATTTTTACAGTGTTTCTTTCTGCTTGTTACATTTTACGATCAACAGTAATTTTCTTCTTTGAATCTTTTTTTCACTAAAAAAATTAAACGAATAAACCTTTTAATTTTTGTGTTGTTGTCATGTCGTTGTCCTCGTCTTTTTTTTTTTTACTCTTTGCTCTAGTCCCATTGTTTTGGTGGAAGCCAACAGAAATCAGTCTTTATAAGGTCAACTAGAGGGGAAAAAAAATTTTCTTTTTTATTTTTTTTATACAGCAACCTTTGTTTTTGGTTAATTAAACGTAATTTATTTTGCGAAACGTTAAAGTGTTTGTGCAAGGTGGATTAAGCTGCAGTTTAAAACGGGAAAAAATTGTTCATTGTTTTTATGATAAGGTTTTCATGGCAGTTACTTTTTCCTTTTTTCGTTCCAATTACTGAGTCATTCATGTTATTCATCCTCATAGAAGACGATCAACGGTGCTCAAACCAAAAAAAAAAGTTTTAAAGAGGTTTACTGTTTTGGTTGTTGTTGTTGCTGCTGGTGATGTTTGAGAAAAAAGATTTTTTTTGGATTAGGAATAGAAATAAAGGTGAAAATAAACGTTTGTCGATAAGGTTTCCGTTTGTGAACAACGGTTCTATGATGTAAGGATAGATGGAAAAGTGAGGAAAATTTTGGTAAATCATCTTTTTCATTTCATTAATCCAACCTTTTTCTTCTCTTTCTCATTTTGTTTCATTTCTGTAGAGAAAATTCATTTTTTTCGTCACCACTACTTGAAACTTTCAAATTTTGCTTTATTTTTCTTTCTGCCTGATTCGGCTCAGCATCTGCATCTTTCTTCTGTTTTCTATTTTTCCTTAACAAATCATAGTTTAATTTTCTCCATTTTTTGATAAATATAGATCTTTAATTTGTTTTTTTTACCGATCCATGATTTTTCTAATTATTTTTGTCTGCATAGTTTACTATTTATGTATACTCTCTAAAGTGTAGTTTCCAACAATTGATTCAAATAGTTCACTTACTGCTTTATTTTATTATTAACTTAATTGACATTTTTTCTTTATTTTACATACATTTGTTAAGAAAAAGAAATTTTTTTTTTGATTTCTATTAGTGACATATGATGATGTTTGAGCTTTCTTTTTGCTTTACAGCTCAAGTCAACCCCGGTGTACTCAGCTGACGGAGCCAACGTCAGTCCGGCACATTCTTGGTCCGATACTCCAATTGATGGTGCCACAAATTTCAGCGAAGATTGCTGGATGCCACCAACTGATTTTGCTAATCGACATCTTTTTTCTGTTAAAATTTCGTTACCCGATGGAAATATCATTGACTATCGCAATAATTCTAACAACTGTCATTGCAACTTAGTTGTAAGCAGAGATTTTTTTTTTGTTGTTCTTTTTTGTATTGCTTTTGAAAAATATTGTCGACAGTATTGTTGGCAGATGGATAGGTGGTATTTGTCGATGGGTAACTGGGAAGGCTACTCTAAATTCTGTGACCGCGGTTGCCTTTATTCATCAACTGTGCTTTTGGTTACAACAAAATTCATTGCTGGTCAATGTGCCCACTATAAACAAACGCACACAGATACACAAATACACAAAAAAAATTCGTTTATTGACAGTTTTCTGTTTATTGGAAAAAGAAGCTAAAAAATGGAAATTTTGGAACTAACATAGCTAATAATAATGATTTTTGAGAAAATCCGCGGATTGACCTAAAAAGTGTCTTGAACATTTTTTCATTTGTAATATAACACTGCTTGTTGTAGAATTTTGAATCATTTTGAATGTCTATCCAGCGATATTGTAAGAAAACTTCTAATTTTTTTTTCAAAATTAAAATTATCTATTTCTTTAACATCATGAAATTAATGTTTGTCTGTCTTGTTGATTCATGCTCAGAGGAGAAAGAAGAAATCTTTTTTTTATTGACGTGGACCCATTTTTTTTGCTCTATTTTCTTTTTTTTTTTTGGTTGGATTTTTAAAGTCTTTTCTTCTAATTTTTTGAAAATTTAAAAATTGTTTGAAACTGACGTTGCCATTCAAAAAAGGTACGCTAAAGTAATTTTCGAAGAACAGAAATAACTTTGCTTAAATGGATCCTGAAGTGACCGCGTTCAGCCACCGAGAAGAGCACCTAGTTTTTTCTTACCACAGTTTTTTCTGCAATCCTTCTGACTGCTGAGATTTCGAATTGCATTGAGAAAATGGGAAAGGGAGCTATTCTGCTGCTCTCAGTTATTTGGCACCAGTTTCTTTTATTTCAGCTTTTATCCCAATTAATCGTTAGGTTCACTTTTTGGGATGTCAGCTATTTAAGAGTTTGAGCTGCAGGATTATTAAAATGTCGAGGGGTGAAGAAAATTCAAATGCTACGTGTTTAATTGTTGCCCAAATTTTTTTTTGCTGCTCTAGAATTAAAGTTTTTTAAGATAAGTTTTTCTTTTATTTTTCATCTTCTGCTAGGCCACTTTTAGAAAAAGTAATGTTTTCAGAATCTTGAAGTTGGTGGATGTTTTTTTGAAGTCATTTCCGATTACGGGAAACAAGCTTTATTGACGAGTGCTTTTGCAAAAGCTGCAAGAAAACGTATCTTAACCCGTATATCTGGGACCTCTGGGTAAGTTTAGCAAAGAACAAAGTTCTGTTTAGTTCACTGTTGCTTAATTTGTTGATGAGTTTTGCGTTCATTTTTCCCACTTTTCTTACTCGAACTTTTGGTCGGTTATAAGTGTGCTGGCGCTGTCTTGACTTTTTTTGCTTGGTAAACTGTCACTAATTTGCATTATTAGTGTCTCGCCTAATACAGAAAATTTAGTTGATATCTTTTTGAGAAAAGGGGCCCAAAAGTCAAGGAAAAAACAGTTTCAATTTTAATTTTCAAAAGGAAGGCAAAAAAAGATTTATTTGGAATAAATTGAAAATTTGATTTTTGTACTTGTTGATGACGAAGAACGTGCTGATTACAAGGAATATCAACAGTTTTAGGATGCTGTCATGTTCCATCACCACTTGTTTCTCCACTGTTCTATTTATTTCTTTTTTTATGGTCATCAAAAAGTTACAATGTGCAATTTCCTTCCAAATTTTTTTTTCAAACATTCAAATTGGTCCTTGCGTTTTTTTGCTTACACTTCCCTCTTTTTGCTCTTTTCAATCTTATGGTGGGGGAATGTTCAAGGAACAGTTACAATAAAAATGACAGCGATGGTATTGACGGTGACAGCAGTGATGATGTTGGCGGTGCTGGTGACTGTTAGCGTAGTAACGTCGGTGACCAAACAGGAAGAAGAATAAAATTAAAAAGTCGTGAAAAGGAAACAAAGAGACCCTTTTTCTTTTTTCTAATGCATCTTATCTGACCAGCCCCAAGAGATTTTTTCCAACACTTTTAGCTTTTTTTTACTGCTGTTCAAAAAACTGATGACCAAAAGAACTCTTTTTTCTTGCATTTCAATTCGTTCCTTTTTTTTTTCTTGCATATTCACATAATCGCTGCTTTTTTTCTATGGCGGTGACGCACAGCGATAAAACGAGTAATAGTCTTCTAATCGTCACTGATAATATCCCGGTTGACACCAGATGCACGGGCATTAAGATTAAGGATGCAAGAGATGCGGGAACGGGGTTATAACAAAGGAGAGGGAATAATAGGAGGCGGGAGGGCAGCGTAACGAGCTAGAGACACAACCGAAGGCGCAGGCGGGAGGGGACGGAATAAACTGGTCAAAAAAAAAAGAAATAGAGACAAAGAGCGTGACAGATGGAGGTTTTGTGTCGAAGTAGTTAAAGAAAGGAGGGTGGAAAAAAGGCAAGAAGATCGAAATTATGAAAATGCGAGCCATCGTCCCAAAAGTACTGGTCAGCGACTGCCACGGGACATCGAAAACAGGCAGACACCGAATGGTGGCAAAAACAGCAACAGCAACGGCAGCAGCAACAACAATACGATTATAATGACAAACGAAAAGATATGATGGTGACGCAGACGAGCACGAGGGCGAGGGCGAGGACAGGCGACTCGTCATGGACAACACACTTCACATGATGATGACGACGACAACAAACAGCGACGACAATGACGTTGCTGACCACAACACTTTACCACTCAGTGACGTTTAATGCCTTACGTAGTGGAAATGGTGACACCAAAGTCCTCTCTCCATGTCCATTGTATTTTTTTGCACTATGCGCTCGTACAGTGCTCTTTTGTGACTAATAGTGGACGCTGACTGTCCCGAAGAGGAGGAAATGCATGTAATCTGAACGACACAGATATGCATACTCGCACACGCACAAAAAAAAAAACTTGCACCAGTTTTCTTTAACCGTTATTTCCACCCTAAATGTAACATAACGTTTTCCGTCATCAATAATTTAAAGTACGCGTAGGCATTTTTTTTAATGATGTATAGAAACTGTTAATGTCGGCAGAAATTAGAAGGATAGGAAAATAACTGACGTATTTTTTCAGATACTAATTTCTTGGCTTGCCATTTTTATGTAAAGTTAAGTTAACAAATGAAATTTACCGATCAACTCTCCACACTTTGTTTAGTGCTTTTTACCTCAGACAGTTCGACTGTGTTAAT